AAGCTCAGTCGCATATCGTGGCATCCTCTGGCCTGGGGTCTTCCAAAAATGACGAAGTCATAACAAAAAAACCACCTGCCACGCCGAAGAACCGCTTTCAGCAGCTGCAAGGTAAGACATTTCACCTCTGGTTGGCTAAAAGGCCGCTCCATCAAGTCCAACCTAAGAGTGGAAGAACATGGGGTTGGAATCTGCAGAAAATGCACATCTGATGAGTCTTGATGGATTTTATCTGGTTGGTTGAGTACTACCTCTCTGAAAATATGAAAGTCAGTTCTGGAAAGTCATAGTCCAGCCATGTTCCAGTCACCACCAACCAGTTCTTCAGCCATCTGCCGCCATGCAGGGTGGATGCTGGAGCCAAGGGACAAAGCACCCACGTCATGCTCACAATACTCAAAGACCAGGAAGACACTCCCGGATTGCCTCACGCGGCGGACCACAAAAATCACGGGCGTCCTTTTAAGGGGGCGTCCAACTCTGTAACCATGTGTAACCATGTGTAACCATGTGTAACCATGTGTAACCATGTGTAACCTGTGTAAGCACCATAGCTTTTTCCAGGGACCCTGCCGGCCACATGCCACTTCACGTAATTCCACGATGTTGGGATGCCTGCGGAGGATGGCCCCCTGCAAAAGTTTCAGATTCCAGTTTTGACGGACGATAATATGGTACCCCCAAATTTTGGTGGTTTGGATCATCATCGTTATTCCATTGAAATAGCACAAATAGCTGGGTAGGTAGACCCCATTTTTAGACACACCCAAAATATCAAATTGTTGGTCATACATCCTACAGTTTATCCAATGATATACCATTATCCCCATACTATATGTATATATATACATATTAGATGATATTAGTTGAATTCTATCCCAATGGGATATAAACATGCGCTAAACTTAATTATTTTTTTGGAGCCTATAAACATTCAGCTATCTCCGGCCTGAGACGCTTCAGAAGCCGAATTTCCCGCAAGGAAATTCTTGGGAAGCCCTCTTTCTCTGCATGGATCCTCACCTGGAGAACGGCCTAATCCTGAAAGCTTATAACAATCCCCAAAGGGTAAAGGTTGATGGATGCTAGAGATATTGGCATGTACATGATGTATTATATATATATACATATGAGCGTGCGGTAGTATACACAGTGGTAGAATATGGCAAAGTTAAGCGATTTGCATCGCTTCACATTCTTCAGCTTCGTAATATATCTGTGTGTATCCCCAGCCTACAAGGGACTGAACTGTCTGAGCACTTGATCCGTAGCCATATACATAATACATAGACGTGAATGCATGATAGTACTCAAGCTAAATACATGATAAATAGATATTATGTGTATATTATGTGTATATGATGAGTATGGTTATGCGGCGTATATTATGTGTACATAAAATACATATTCGACACATATTAGTACATACATACACAATATCATAGAATTATCAGTATCAGGCGACCCTTTTTTTCTTCCAATCTTGGCAGCTGAAGAAATGGCCTTCTTCAAGGCGACAATGTCGCCGGTCTCTGTGTCCCGGGCGCGGTAGACGGTGCCATAAGTACCTGGCGGACCAGAGCAGCTGTATCAAAATGGATGGGACGGGATGGATCTGGCAAAATCACCACTTGAAAAAAAACTCTGAATAATAAAACATTGAAAATCAACGTTTCTGAATGTGCTAATTGATGGGGGGGTTCACAAAGCAACTTGTTGAGATTGCGCAATGGCCAAAGCAGGTATCAAACATATCAAACAAGATGAACAACAAAAAAATAATGAGGACATCTAGGCCTGTGACCCGAAAAGAATCAATGGATTGTTCCAAGCCGGACTCCAAGCCGGACATCGCTAGGCTGAGAGCATGATGGTGAGCCATGAAAATAACATGGATACATTCACCAGAAAAGATCTTTTGATGGCTTGCAGCATTTTTGCGGTAACCACATGAAACTGTGTTCCCCAAATGGAACTAGTGTTCCATACATTGCTTGCGTATTGCACTTTTTTGTTCACCAGTCTATTTGGGTACGGGATAGCAAGTGAAATCAACAGGATTCAACAAACATGGTGACATGGTCATGGTTGAAAGATCCGGAAAGCACTGCTTGCTGGGACTCTCAAATATTTGCGATCCATTATTGGTGCGCCCAAGTTTTGGTATACAACCCCCCTGACAAATAGAAACTTTGCATTTTCCCAACTTAGTCGTAATCTCAAATCATCCGAAAAATAAAGAGAAATTGATTCATCCGAAATGGGGATGGAAAGCAAACACCTACACTATTTGAAACACCAGCTAGTAACAGCTAGTACTTCTAATGCTTCTTTATCCGCATGCTTGAATGTGCCCCAACATTGGAAGATTGGAGACACGTCCTCATGTAAAAAATTGAGGACACAATTAGTACAAGCCCAAATGTGTATGTGTATCTATAATATATATATATTATATTATATATACATCATTTACATAAAGTTGTAAACAAACATCAGTCAGGGGTCTCATTGTTTTTTTTTTTAAATAGGTTTTGGCTGCCAGTCTCATGGTTGGTTGTTGTCTCCACATTCCAACTAGCCCGGTGCAGCCTTCGCCCAGTCGATTGAGCTTCTCAAATACTTCGACACCTGACGGATCTGAGGCTGGGATGATTCACCAACCAGTGGAACAAATGCTGGAGATGTAGAACATACCCTCTGGTAATTTGTAACAGTTTGCTATAGTTTGCTATTGAAATTGGCCATAGAAATAGTTGATTTGCCCGTTAAACATGGTGGATCTTTCCATAGTTATGTAACAGTTTACCAGAGGGCAAAAAAACACTGCAGCGATGCTGCGGGTTGCATATGTTGCATCGGATTCGAGGATCAGATGATCCAAACATGTCAGCATGTTTCCGCTGTGAAATGCTCCTGATAGACAAATATCAAGTGCCTTTCAGCGAATGTTTTTTAGAGACTTGGCTTATACAGACTCTCGGTACAGTAGCGCCACAAGCGCATGTTGAGTCTATGCCAGACCCATGTTGTGCCTGTCTTGCGTGCTGTGTGTTGAGCCCTCCGCATACTCAATGTGCAATAGTAAAGGATGTGTGGAGCCTATGATGGGCCCATTTGGCCTACGCTAAATCTATGCTGAACCTCTTGTAGCCATTGCACTGTTTGCCTTACTCCCAGACCTCCTTTTTGAACCCATTCTGATTGAGCCTGCACTTTTTCGGAAGGATATTGAGCCAGTTTTTTTCGACAAGGCTCCAGACACATCCAACGCCCAGCTACGCTATGCTGAATATACTGGGTGCATCCTGGGCTGGTGCCTCCTGGGCCTTTGTTGAGGCCATCGTTGTCCCGTTGAGTGCTGGCTATGCTGGCTATGTTGAGACATCCGAAGTCAGAAGTCTCGGCACTCTGCGGATTTTGGATATCCTTCAAGATGTTGGGTAACTCGGATGAAAATGAGCTGATCCGCATCAGCAAATCATGGTTTAATGCTGGTAAACCGCCTCTGCGACATGCTTCACAGAAACCCAAAATTGCCCCAAATGCACCTCGACATCTGCCCAAGTAGCCATTGAATGTCATGGCGCCAGAAAGTCTGGACCCTGGACCCTGGACCCTGGATTTTTTGAAAACCTTGGAGAAGCCATCCAAATGCGTGAGATGCGTGAGCACCCCTTCCATAGTTGGGAGTCTTCCTCGAAGCAATGCCTTGCAAAAGAACTTGTCACCATTTTTTTCGGCGCAGTGTCTGAGGCATTGTTCTGGCATTACCAAAAGGCCATGGGCTTCACATGTTGACTCTGCATTGGATCACGGGATATGATACGCGTGGTACCTGGTTATACCTGCAGCTTCATCTTTGTGATCGAGCTTTTTGGAAAAAAAATCCCCTGAAGGCCTCAGCATTTTGCAAGGTGTCAGCCTTATTTTCAGCTTGAGGCTTAAAAAGTTGCGGTAAAACAAGGCTGGACTCCTAGGATGCTGCTGAGTTCCGCTCTGGCGGCAACGGTGATGTGCCAAGAACCGGTGAGCCTCTGGTTATGACTAACAGAGCCATGGTTAAAACCACCATTTTTAATGGGAAAATCCACTATAAATATCTATTTCTATGGCCATTTTCAATAGCTAACTCTTGACATAACCAGAGGGTACATTATCCAAGAAATTTGCGGCCGCGGCTTCTGAACATTGGTCCTTCATGCACCACTGGATCTGCGTCGGAAAAATCTTCGTCCACTGGATCCCCGATGTTTTTTGCTTCGAAGTTTGAGTGGAACCTGGAGTCTGAGCTCTGATCGGTTTCGTGTTTCGATATGTTTCAACATGTCTCAATAGTTTTCAATAAACAGGACCTGCATCTTGCCCGGGATACCCGGGATATATCTCTGCGCCGTTGAAGACCTTCATACCGCTGCAAGCTGTCTTCGAAAATCAGTGGTGTGGTGACATGTTAGAACCATAGTCCAGTGCTCCAGGTTCTACATGCTTCACATGTTTCTGCTTGTGCCAAATGGTTTCGGACATTTTGATTTCTCTGGACTAGTCAATTTTGTTCCGAAGTGGCATTTCTGGCCGTTCATCTGCTTCTGGACCAACACCAGACTTGCACATCAAGTTGAAGGAGAATCTTGGCAGCATATTTGATACCACATGTGAAAAATAAACAGATCACATCGCTTACATTAAGAGAAAACCATATTCCAGTCCTCTTGAGACATGTTCCGTTTCAAACCATTTCGGTCGCAGATACCGCGAGTCATGAATTTCTTCAACAAGTCTTGTCACACCCCAGCAAAAGCCTGTCGCTGGTGGTCACAATCCTGTAGATATGTGCAGGGTCTTGGCGGGCAATTTTCCAATTGAGCGGCAAACATCACCACATTTTCGCGGATTTCCAAGGTGGGCTAAGACGCAAATTGGCAGGCACTTGCACACGCGCAAGCATAGAGGCATCATTTTAGGGGCCTCTTTCAGGATTCACGTCCCAATCAGCTCGAGAGCTGCAGTTTCAACATGGTTCAACTTCACACCTTCTATCAAACAGTCCTACCAAACATATCAAACATATCAACATTTCTAATATCTAGATAGATAGATAGATAGATAGTTAGATAGATAGATAGATAGATAGATAAAAAGATAGATAGATAGATAGATAGATAGACAGTGGATAGATGGATAGATGGATAGATGGATAGATGGATAGATGGATAGATGGATAGATGGATAGAGGGATAGAGGGATAGAGGGATAGAGGGATAGAGGGATAGGGGGATAGATGGATAGATGGATACATACGTATACGTATACATATCCATATGCATATCCATATCCATTAATAAGCATATCCATATGCATACACATCCACATCCACATGTGCATGTACATGTTGATGTACCTATGTGTATAGTTGTGTCAGCACATGTACATGTATGTGTATATACCCATATATGTGTATATGGATATGTGTATGTAAACACATGTGATGTATATATATACATATATATATATATAATATGATATTTCTATGTACGTAAAATTGTGTATATGAAGACGCATACTGCAGGTGGACATCTTTTACAGCAACAAAAACAAACTCAGTCGCTATGACATGTTCCACACTCAGAGCTGCCCCAGGTTACTGGTCAAATTTGTACATCTGGACCAATATCAAGGACCTCAGTTGCACGGTGCGGTGACGTGACTGGTGCGTTTTTTTCCGGCTCAAGCAGTGTTTTAGCTCCCAACCTGGGGTTGGAAAGCCCAATAATCCCACCTGAGCACAGTCTCATTTTTAGACTGATGAAAAGCCAAAAAAAAACGGCACAAAATTATGTACTTTATGTCACTTTAGTTCTGTTCTTTGAAATGAATGATACTTGAGAGGGGGAACACGAAAGGTAGGTGATCAAGAAGGGGAACCAAAGCCTCTGCGTGTAAAAATTGGCTGTGTGTAAAAGTGCGCTGTGTGCACAAGCGTCTGTGTAAAAGTGCGCTGTGTGCAATTGTTTTTCTGTGTAAAGGCATCTGTGTGTAAAAGCGTCTGTGTAAAAACTGCTGTGCACGGAAACTTCTGTGCGTAAAGGTTTCTGTGCGGAAAACAAGAATTGTGTAAAAGCTGCTCTTGGAAAAGTTTCTGCGTGTAAAAGTTTAGGTGTGTAAAAACTTCTTTGTGCAGTCTGTGTTGACAAGTTTTTTCTGTGTCAATGTTTTCCTGTGTAAAAGTTTCTTTGTGTAAAAGTTGTTCTGTGCAAAGGTTTCTCCGTGTAAAAGGTTCTGTGTTTAAAAGAGCTTGTGTGCCTTTATTTATGCGTGCAAAAGCATCTTTGTGCAAAGCATCGGTGCTTAAAAACTTCTGTGTGTAATTTGCGTAAAAGCCTCTGTTTGTAAAGGCGTCTGCGTGCAGAAGTTTATCTGTGCACAAACCTCTCTGCGTAAGAGTGCGCATAAAAGCTGCTCTGTGTACAGGTTTCTGTGCGTAAACGTCGTCTGTTTGTAGAAGCGTACCGGTGCAAAATGGTCACCACAGCCAAATCCCAAACAATGAAACAAAAGAATCCAAACTCTGTTTGCTGCCGTTACGTTGTTGATGGCGGTGATCCGCACGGGGCACAAGGCATCATTTTGGCTGTGTTAAGCCAAGTTTTTAAAAGCCTTCGGGACAAAAAACGCCGCAAATGTCCATGTTTTTGGCGCCTCACAGGCCAAAAACCACGGTACTGTTATTGTTACTGCTACTGTTACTGCTACTGTTACTGTTACTGTTGTTGTTGTTGTTGTTGATGTTGTTGTTGTTGTTGTTGCTGCTGGTGGTGGTGGTGGTGGTCTGTGTGACTGTGTGACTGTGTGACTGTGTGACTGTGTGACTGTGTGACTGTGTGACTGTGTTACTGTGTTACTGTGTTACTGTGTTACTGTGTTACTGTGTTACTGTGTTACTGTTACCCCTGCTTTTTTTCTCAGTCTTGCAGTGGCCGAAAATCGTCAAATAGTGTGTTCGCATTTGTTTAAGACTCTCGGAGCAAAAAAAAAACACCCTAATTAAATACCGATTTTTGTTGCGCCTTGGCAGCCCAAAAGCACGGTATTTACGATGTGTTTTGCTTCTGGTCGGAAAAACCACGGTATTTACAGTGTTTTTTGGACAGCACCGAGCAAAAACAGTGGTATTTGCGCAGTTTTAGAAGTGATTGTTCCATGCAAAAATCACAAAACCCATGTAAATATATATATATATTATATATATATAGAGAGAGAGAGAGTCTTTGGGGTCTGATTTTTGTGTTAGGGTGTGTGTGTGTGTGTTTTGGGGTGGAGGATTTTGGGGGGTGCCTCAGGATCTTGGCGTCGATGCGGTGAAAAATGTAGGCGGTGTCCTGATCTCTGGTGATTTTTCATACCCTCTGGTAAACTAACATAGCTATTGAAAATGGTGATTTACCCATTAAAAATAGTGATTTTCCATAGCTATGTTAGTTTACCAGAGGGTAAAGGGAACATCATGGACTAATCATGACTAATCACCATCATTTTATATGTTACATATTTATATACATGAAAATATACATTTATTGGACACGTGTTTTTGAACAACATCGGAGCATCAATGGTTCATTGCATTGTGCTTGGTCACCTATGGTGGTTGCTCAAAAAAGGCGCCATCAGCAGCCTTGCTGAATTTGATATGGAACCAATAGGAAATGGTGATAGGAAAAACCTCGAGAATCTTCGAGACCTACTTTTTCGGGGACTTCCCATTTTCCCCATTTTCAGGGTACCATGGTACCATGGCCACCGATGGCAGCCAGTCCGTCCCAGAGTCCTCCACCACTGGATTGGGGGTAAAAACCTCCACCAGGATGTCATAGAGAACGGCCATCTGAAAGCGAAGTTAAGCTGAGAACGGCGCTTTCAAAAAAAAAAACAGGGGATGATTCAGGAAAACATAGGAGGTTGGGCAACAATCTGGCACTCGAACCAACAAACTAAAACGAGCAACTACATGAATATAATAATATAATATGAGATAAGATCATATAATATAAAATTTAAAAATATTAAAAAAATAAAATAATATGATATGTATGATATGTATGATATGTATGATATGTATATATATATATATGTATGGTTCCCTTAAGCGACTTTCTTGCTGGGAAGTATCTGAATGGAAATCAACTCAGCACGAGTTGATGCTATGAGTTTCCTGGTGTTTTTTGTGGGGCAACTGCTTTCGCAAGACTCACGGCCATAACCTGAGAAAGGACGCCTAAAGAAGTCCTTCATGGTCGATGGCTAGTTACTCAGTTACTGGTTAGACGTCTGGTTGGACAACCCGAAATAAACCCTAAACCATGTAGTTGCATGTAGTTGCTGAACAGTATTTGTGGAACCAGTGGTGTTAACTTCTCAATACAACAGAAACAAGTTTCTGAATCCGACATAGTTTCTGAATATGACCTCCGGTTTTGGAATATGACGTTCAGTTTCTGAAGATTTCTGAAGCGTCGTTTCTGAAAACAGTGGAGTATCCCTCCAGGACACGACAAAAAAAATTCAGCGGAGCGGAGCGGAGCATTTTCTCCGTCAGTTGGGCTGAAGCTGGGCTGAAGCATAGCTGGATGAAGCAAGGGCCACTTCACACAGAAAAGTGAAGCCTTGGCATTTTTGGGATGTCCCAAAAGCCCATCGGCATCATTTTCGGCAGTTCTTGATGCGCTTTCTGAGGTGACCTCGAAGCCTGTCTTGCAACTGGTGAACTTCACTTCCAGTCGCGGCCGAAGTAACCGCCGAAAGGACCTCGTGGTGATCAAATGTCAAATGACTCAACTGGGATCAGGGCGGGAATTACGGCAAAAATACAACAAAACATCGGAAGATTTTGGATTCCAAAACCTTCAGCGATTTTTGGAACCAGGAGTTTTCGGTGATTTTTGGTCAAGTCTTCGATGCACTTGGGTCTCAGCCCGATGCGTTAGCTTTTTGGGACCCCGGGGCTTTGTCGACCCTTGCGAGTTTCACCAAGAAACCGCGGAGTATGCGAAGAAATCGGACGGTAGTGCAGCTGCTCCCATATCTTGAAACAGCATCAAAGCCAGCTGCCACTCAAGGCCTTTGCCACATGCACTGATGGTGGCATTGTAACCTGGGTGATCGGAGGAAAAATTAGGTGGCAAGTGGAGCTTCAAACTTCTGAAACTATATAAAGCTACATATATATATATATATTATAGGAGGATGAGGGGGGTGAAGGCGTGCACATTATAGAAACGCGCATGTCTTGCACGGTCTGCTTAAAATCATCCTGTCTGCTGATCTGCTTCCATTCCTGGAGCTTGGATCTATCCCAAACTCTCATACAAACAATCCAAATTCTGAAAGAGGAAAAACCTGCTCCAAAACCATGGAAAAACCACAAAAAAAGTTCAGAGCCATGTCCTAGCCAGCTTCTTCTCAGACCCTCTCTATGGGTCGAAACGGTTTTCTTGTTTTCTTGAGGTTTTTGCCACTTTGTCAGTCCAACAATGTCAGTTGCTCATTTTTTTGTGCTTTTTGTTCCTGTTTCTTGGGTTCCTGGGAGAAAGTTTCACCCTGACAAGCATCCATTGGCATAGCTTTCACTCCTCCACATTTTATATTGGTGTCTTCATTGAGTTACTGTGGCTACTGAGCCATCAGAGAAAATGTACAGTAAAAACAGCTCTATCACCCACCTCTTTAGGTACTCCATTGGACTGATGTTTGATTGGTATGCCGAGGTTTTGGTTCCTCACCTTTAAAGGTTTGGCTCGTGTTCTTCAAACCTGGAATCACTGAAAGTGATATCTAACGAAAACTATATTTTTCAAAAATGGATTGTTTAAGCAACACTTTGTTGTACAAAAAATATGTTTGTCTCAAAGTGTCTGCTCCTTCGAAAAGGCAATATTGTATCCCTCAAGACAAGATTCCTCTAAAGAAGGATGTTGTTTTCCTTTGGAAGAAGCAGATACTATTTTGTAGAATGCCACATTATTCTTCTTGGCAACTCTTGCATGCCACAGCATTTCTTGAAGAAATGATGGCATTCCTTTGAACAAACATGTTCATTTTAAAGGTTCAATTTTTCATTGTACAATGTAATAGGTTGAAAGAAACAACATTCTTGTAGTCATGCATTGTATCTTGAAAAACACTAGTCTAAGATGTACTAGTTTTTCAAACAAAATGTATGGTTGAAATATATCACAATATGTTCAAAGCGAATCCTTCCTCCTCCCACTAGTCAGACATCACTCCCATAAAAATGAACACTATTCCATTCAAGGATGCAATACCCCTAGCAGGAAGTGTACAGCCTATAGCTGAAGAATACAACCAATTTTTGTTCAATACAGCCTACAACCCATTATATCCTTTTGAAAGGGGCAGCAATTGTGCAGAGCATGCAATAAATCGTTCAAACATGTGCTTGCATTTTTTACATTTTCACAAAGGTACAGTACACAATTCACGGCAGAAAGCAGGGTTGTTTTCGAGATGCATGATCTTCCAGATCTTCTCAAAAAAAAAACTTGTTCAAGATACAGCACTATTTTCAGGAAGTGCATCTCTAAAGTTTCAGTTGCGCTTTCGTACGCAAAATGTATTGTTTCCCTGCAAGTGTGTTACTTTTTTTCAACAAGGCAGCGCTTTTAAGGCAAAATATAGATGATGCCTGGAAAAGGTCTAGATTCAATCGTAGTTAAACTATCTTTTTGAAGAAGTGCATGTTCAATCTGGACAGGTTCTTTTGTGAAAAGCACTCATGAACAGCATGAAAGGATGCATGTCTGTTCAATATCATATATGTATATGTATATGTATATGTATATGTATATGTATATCGAGAAACATAAACTATTGTGAAAAAATCAAAAAAAAATTATCAATGATGCGTGTATATATATATATATATTATATACACAACAATATAAAGCAGAATTCATTGCAGGCATCAAAATCATTGATGAAAGCACATTTCTTGTAAGATTACATTATGTTTTGAAATATTTTGTTTGACCATCTCATAACCACACCAACTCATGCATAATGATGCAAAACCTTGTAAATCAGACCTTTCACCACTCCACCCCCATGGTAAGCCGCTCTCTCTCTCTCTCTATATGTATATATATATGTGTAATGTGTATAGATATATATATATATATTGTGCTAAATATTGTAAGTAACACCTTGTCTCACGATTCCGCGATCCAAGAGGCTGATGAGATCAGGGGCAATCTCCTGAGATGGCTCGGTAATGGGGGAGGTCATTTTGGATGCTACGCCAATGGAGCCATGGAGACTGGAATCCTGATATATCCTGATGTGCCGATCCAAAGCTCGAATTGTCTGCGGATGTTTAATGTGTAGAAAACACCGCTGTCAAACACGTTTGTTTACCTGCTGGTTTTAGCCCAAGCCAACATGGTAATCTTTCAGATTAATCTCAACTATCCCAACCAGGTATCACCCGCGCATCCAAGCGTCTATCTGTGGCATCTTCTCAAATAGTTTCAGAGCAATCTGACTTTGATTGCCACGCTCACAAGCAGTGATGGACGAATTGAAGCCTGGGGGAAAATCTTGGGAATCGAGATGTGCCGCCCTCATCTTAGATGCCCCATTAGAAGTTGATTTTCATGAAATGCCGCGTCTTCTATTCCACTCAACACGCCAACAAGAATGATGTTTATTGATTTATCAACCTACCAAATCCATCCAAATCCAAGGTTTACCCAAAAACAAACTCCGCTGCAGTCCATTTGTTCCAGTGGCTGATGACATTGGGAAAGATCTTCCGCTGCTGCATCGAATCCAACAGGTCTAAGGCAATGCACCAGGTCGCAGCCTTTTCGCATGCAGTGATAGTGCTGGTAAAACTGATAACGTCTGGACGTGGACCCGACTCCCACATCGAGTCTAACAACCTGAGGGCCAAAGGCCATAAACCCGCCTTGGCACAAGCACTGATGATTGCATTGTAAGTGAAAATGTCTGGATCAATGTCAGCCTGGGGCATGGCATCGAAGATTTCCAGGGCTCGTTGCCATTGCTCACCCTTTTCACAGCCGCTGATGGTTGCATTGTAGGTGATCACGTCTGGAAAAATGTCATTTTGCGGCATGGCCTCCAGAAAATACAACGCCAGCTGCCAATGAGCTCCCTTCTCACAGGAGCTGATAGTTGCATTGTAAGTGATGATGTTGGGTTGAATACTCCTCTGGGACATAGATGAAAAGACCAGCAACCCAAGTTGCCATCGCGTGCCTTTCTGTAAAGAGCCGATAGTTGCACTGTAAGTGGCACTGTCTGGTTTAATTCCTCCTTCCGGCATCCGCTGAAACGCTTCCAAGGCCATCTGCCACTGCTCTGCCTTTTCACACGCTCTGATGGCAGCATTGAAACTCATGACATCAGACTTCAGTGAAGGTGAAGTTGCCATCAAAGCCAGCAAGCCCAGAGCTTGTTGCCATTGACCGGCTTTTTCGCAGCTGCTGATAGTTGTGTTGCAGCAGGTCGCATCTGGTTGAACTTTCCTCTGCCTCATCGAATGCAACAATTCCAACGCCAATTGCCAGCATTCGCCCGACTCGCATGAGCTGATGGCTGAGGTGTAGCTCACGACATTCGGGACAATTCTTGAGGCAAGCATAGACTCAAAATACCACAGAGCCAAAGTCCATAGTCTGCCAGTTTCACTGGAAGAAATGGCCACGCTGTAGCTATACACATCTGGTTGGAGTTGATCAAGTGGCATCTTCTCGAAGATGTCTAAGGCCTTTGGCCAATGAGAGCCCTTTTGATGTGCACTCATTGCTGCATTATAGCTAATCATGCTGGGCTGAACGCTGGCTCTCCGCATAGAAGCCAACATATCCATACAACGCCACCACATGGAACACGCCTGAAATCCACTGATCGCTCCATTGAAGCTTCTGACGTCGGGGTATATTGAAGAAGTTGCCATGGCCTCAAGCAGGGAAGCCGTGATTTCCCACAATCCTGTTTTGGCACAAGCACTGATGATTGCATTGTAAGTGAAAACGTCTGGATCAATGTCAGCCTGGGGCATGGCATCGAAGATTTCCAGGGCTCGTTGCCATTGCTCACCCTTTTCACAGCCGCTGATGGTTGCATTGTAGGTGATCACGTCTGGAAAAATGTCATTTTGCGGCATGGCCTCCAGAAAATACAACGCCAGCTGCCAATGAGCTCCCTTCTCACAGGAGCTTATAGTTGCATTGTAAGTGATGATGTTGGGTTGAATACTCCTCTGGGACATAGATGAAAAGACCAGCAACCCAAGTTGCCATCGAGTGCTTTTCTGCAAAGAGCTGATAGTTGTATTGCAGCTAACAGTATCTGGTTTGATTCCTCCTTCCGGCATCCGCTGAAACGCTTCCAAGGCCATCTGCCACTGCTCTGCCCTTGCTAACGCACCGATGAGTGCATTCAAGCTAAAGGTGTTGTGCTGTACTCTGCCCTTCTGCAGCAGCTGAAAAAACTGCAAAGCGCTCTGCCAGTGCTTCCCTTTTCCAAAGGATGTTAGATAGGCTGTCACTTGATGAAGCTGACCACCCTCAGAGAGGACTTGAAATCTGTGAAATCTGGAGAAGGGACACTTTGGCAAAACTTGTAGTGACTAATCAACACATGATTTTGGAATATGTTGGATCACTTTGAGGTGAATGCAACAACTGTATCTAGAATATCATCTCCTGAAAATTGTCTGTTGCACCACTGTCGGTTTCAAACAAAACAAGGAACCTCCATGACATCGCGCAGGAGCGTGACATTTTCTTCACCAATTTCGTTCCTTGGCGGAAAAAGGCTGCTGTTGGCTGTTGCCAAAGATCACTGCATCCGCCCATATCCGCCCACCGTTCTTGGAAAGTGGGATATCTCTGGGAGCAATGTTTTTTCGAAACCTTTCTGGTGACCATATCTCTTGGCCCCCCATCTTCGGTGGTTCATGTTTAATCCTGATGTCTGCCGAATGGATTCAAATAAACGAAGTGAGCTGTGTTCAAAACCCGAAATGTCGTTTAGGTTTGTTGATAGGGATTCGCATAAAGGACAATGATAGACAATATAGTAATATAGATAATGTAGTAATATAAATGATGTAGATAATATAATCTCAGAACTCATCATCCAACAGGGCTGTCGAACGCAGCCACTCAAGTTGAACTTTGGAATCTTTGGATCCCAGTTTCAAAAGAGGCACGGGGAGTCTGCCACCCAGCCATTCCCTCGGCTCAGTCTTGTTTGGTGTCTTCCTGAGCTCGGAGATTGCAGCTGAGGTCCTGAATCATGGCTTGAATTTGGGTTGTATCAGTGGTCGAAACATGAACATAAAATAAAGCTACCATTTGGGGACGATGTTTGACCGTTTGTGGTTTTATGGTAATATTGGGGACAAATTGGGGATGGTTCATTATTGGCTCTCATCAAAGTACATCCCTGTCTACCCATCCATTTCACCCAAGTAGGACTGTTTGATTCTCTCAGAGTTAGTTTTGGGACAGGAAATTCTGAAGAATTCAAGCCCCCTGCTGGCGAACAAGTTGCAGAGCGTTCCATACAGTAGATACAGTACATATGACATGCACACCTATCGCACCGCATATGCATGTTATGTTATGTCATATCACGTTATGTACGTTATCTGTTATCTTGTGATGCCGTGTGGTGTCGCGTGGTGTGGCGTGGCGTGGCGTGGTGTGTGATCTTCGCTGAGGCTAGTGTAGGTTCGGTGAGGCCATTTCTGTATGTCGGTGTGTACTGACATATACGTGTATAGCTTTATGATTCTCTATGTATCTACATGTACAATATGATGCTACGTTGTTCGCCCGACTCGTGGTGAACAAACTTGTGGGGGTTCACATGAATGCTCACCATCACCGTTGGAGCCATGTCAGCACGACACACCTTCCCGGCGATCTCCACTTGGACATCTTCCAGGACCCAATACCAGCGCAATGACTAGATGCACTTGGGAGTATCTTGGTCTTGAACACGGTATTCTAAAACACAATTACATGTGTTTTTAAGTAAAACTGGAGAAAAAAAAAACGTTGCCATGGGTTAGTATTTCAATTGCCATTTCTCCCACATTTTCGCTTGCTATATAGTTGTTGGTCAAAACATTGTTGTTGCTGCTGAATAACCACTTAATATGTTGATTAAATTGCTTTTTGTCGATTAATCAAATCGTGTGATATTTTCCGTGTTTGGTCGCTTGGTCCTTTGAAATCACAATTTTTGCCGGTTAAATCACATTTTTTGCTGTATAGAGTTTCCCATGTTTTCTTGCTTGTGATCAACCCTTGTGCAAGACGAGCCATAGAATAATACACCTATCACATCCTAGTGTGCGGCTTGGTATAAATATCCCCAATGAACCCATTACAATTAGGATTATGCCATTCTCCCAATACCTTTATCCCAGTATCACTTGGTATTTCATACAGTTGGAGAGTTTAGGATTACAATTGGTAGATTACTGGTATAGATTACTGGTCGTTTTTTCCCCCAATGACTACAGCTTCAGCACTGCCGAGCCGCAGTCGGAGCTTCCGCAGACTTCGAAGCTGCAGACTGCGCTGCATCACCAAGGTCCAGGGCTCAGCTTGAGCAGGGCTCTCAAGCAGGGCTTGAGCCGCTTGATGCTTAAGTGTCTGGAAATGGGTATACCATGGTACACCAGAAAAAAAAAAATGGCAAAATCTGGGAAAAGAATGAGAAAAATATTGATTTACTTCAAACGCAATACATGAAACGTGGCACTTGTTTTCGCTCCACAATTGACGCAATCAACCCTTTGATGATGTTGAGACATCTTTAGACCACCTAGTTCTGGAACCACTCAGACATGTTCAGCCAAATTTGGTGTTCATCATTTTAAGTCACTGCCATGAATCCATGGCACAAAATGTGGGGAATAAAATTCATCTGGGTCAGTTTCTGGTTTCAGTTCACTGTTTTTTTTGCCGTTGGCAACATCCAATCATCCAATCAGCCTAGACAGGTCAGAGGGGCGACAACATTTGCCTAAGAGAACTGAGCTTCCGCTCTCAGAATGCTGGAAGTATCCAGCCATTTTGGATGCGATCACGAGGAAAATCAAATAAAATCAATCATTCAAACATCAAAACATATCAAAACATATCAAAACATATCAAAACTGTTTCCCACCCGTTTCCCACCCGAGATTTTGTCGCCGATTTTTCAGTAACGCCTCCTCTTGAACCGCCAGGATGAGGCTTCGGTGAGATGTCGGACATTTTGGAGCTGCTGAAATGGTCGTGGATCTGTGGATTCACTGAAGGCCTTTTCAAAGAGCTTCATGACACCAGTTCCAAAGTTTTCAAAGCCCCATTCCTTCGATTCCTTCGATTCCAAACTGTCGCTGGGAGCTTCAAAATCTTCCAGTCGCAGAGCAGAATGAGAACCACCAGCTCGCCATGAGACGCTCACGGAGACCTCCGGCCGATGTGCAGTTTCAAGGGAGTCGACCAAGGCGTGGTAACCTCGGCCCACCATGACTTTTGGGAGGACCATCAATCGAAATTGGATCAATGGATTGGTTTAAGGGAAAATCTACAGGAAACCATGCTTTTTGCCATCAAATATAGGGGTTTCCTGTAAATTTTCCCATCATCCAATTCTATGATTGGATGAATGATGATTGTCTCGTAATATTACCATATATTACCTCCGGTGTCATCAAACATGGCTGGAAGATCCCCGAAGTAAATGGATGGAGGTTTAGTTTCGCTCTCGCATAACCATCAAACTAAATGGATCTAAATGGGGGAATTTCCAGCCACGTTTGATGACACCAGAGGGTATATCATGAAGTCAGAACAGAGGGCCAGCATGTCTGGGGAAATACAAGGAACCAAATGATGGAAAACAATGACACACAATTAGATGATTTTCTTGGGCGAGCAAAATAGAAGATGATTTTTTATGGCCAGGTTGGATTCAGGAGTGCTTTCACATAAACTCCTCAAAGTTCCCTTCAAAGGTTCACAAACCACGGACATTTCCAGTCACCATTTACGAATCGCTGGCCGTGAAATCCGAAATCCTCTTGGATCCCAACGCAGATCATGCTGATTGGCACTTCCAATCAGTTTTTTTTGTGCAAAAAAAGTAACCTTCCTTTTCAGAGGATTGCGATCTCAGGAACCTGGAAGATCTAGGCGTAGATCGTGTAGCATCGACAGCTGCAGTGCCAATTGCCACTGCTTGGACTTTTGAAGCGAACTCAAGACTGAATTGTAGGTCAAGCTGTCCTAATGGAAGGGTCACTGCTAAAAAGGCATGGAGGAGGGACCGTGGAAAATGAGAGATGCCGATTTGAAGCCGAGAGGCCTCCAAACATTTCAATTGGATCAACGGCAATTCTTCCAACCTCAAAAAGAAGTGTGGATATTCATATACATATATATATATACGTATTACGTGTATATATATATATATACGTATATATATATACACATTAAAAGTATATATACATATGAATATGACATCATATGACCCTATGTTTGAAACAACTGCGGTTCCCCCTACACACTTGGTCTCCCGTTACGGAACCAGGTCCGGGTTCGTTTCCCGAGCATCTGGTGTCCAGTGGTTCTGCACGAGCTCCAGTAGAGTCGCAGCCAAGGACCATTGAGCCCCAGCTGCCATGGCGCTGATGGTCGAATTGAAGACCACCAGATTTGGAGAGAACTGCCCTGCCACCTGACATCTGAGATCAATCTGAGATCAATCTGAGATCAATCTGAGGTCAATCGAACTTGGGTCCATGTTTGTTCCTGTAACAAAAATCAGCAGAGTTCAAGATCTGAAGAGATACCTGAGATACCTGAGTCCAAACCTCTCCAAAATCCACGTTGCAAAGTTTTTTTCTTTATCAAGCGCCTGGTTCCAAGACACCAAGATCAACCAAGTACCAGGTTGTAACAACTGGCCCCCGTCCTGCCTCAGAAAACTGCTGTAGAGCCCATTCCCACTGTGCAGACTTTTCGAAGGAACTAATAAGGCTGGTGTGACTTGCTAAAGTGCTTGACATGGAAAGTGCTCGCATTTCCTCCAGCAAACGCAAGGCATGTTGCCACTTGCCGGCTTTTTGCAGGGCATTCATGGTGGCATTGTACAAAATCGCATCCAACTGGCCATCCCGGATCTCCACGGCATCCCTCAACAGCTGAAGCGCCTGAAGCCATTGCGCCCCCTTGGCGCAACAGCCGATGCACGCGGTGAAGCTCACGATGTCGTGAAGATCGTGATCCGAGGTCGAAAAGAGCTCCAAGGCCATGACCCACCTGGGCAAGATGCCCATGGCGGGTTGATGAATGTTGGAATAACATTCGAATACAGCATTATCAGCATTATAAAAACATTGTCATATACCATTGGTATAAGTATAACATGGAATAACATGGAATAACATGGAATAACATGGAACAACATGGAACAACATGGAACAACATGGAACAACATGGAACAACATGGAACAACATGGAACAACATGGAACAACATGGAACAACATGGAACAACATGGAACAACATGGAACAACATGGAACAACATGGAACAACATGGAACAACATGGAACAACATGGAACAACATGGAACAACATGGAACAACATGGAACAACATGGAACAACATGGAACAACATGGAACAACATGGAACAACATGGAATAACATGGAATAACATGGAATAACATGGAATAACATGGAATAACATGGAATAACATGGAATAACATGGAATAACATGGAATAACATGGAATAACATGGACATGGAACAACATGGAACAACATGGAACAACATGGAACAACATGGAACAACATGGAACAACATGGAACAACATGGAACAACATGGAACAACATGGAACAACATGGAACAACATGGAACAACATGGAACAACATGGAACAACATGGAACAACATGGAACAACATGGAACAACATGGAACAACATGGAACAACATGGAACAACATGGAATAACATGGAATAACATGGAATAACATGGAATAACATGGAATAACATGGAATAACATGGAATAACATGGAATAACATGGAATAACATGGAATAACATGGAATAACATGGAATAACATGGAATAACATGGAATAACATGAAATAGGGAGAGGGATCAAAAAAAACAAATAAGGATCAAAAAAAAAACAAATAAGGATCAAAAAAAACAAATAGGGATCAAAAAAAAAACAAAATCCAGAAAACATGAGAAAACACAGGGAAACTATCACGAAATAAAGGCAAAAGCCATGGATCAAAAAAAAAACAAAATCAGGAAAGGAAAGAAAGAAAGAAAGAAAGAAACAGGGGAAGAAAGAAAGAAAGAAAGAAAGGAAGGAAGAAGGAAGGAAGGAAGGAAGGAAGGAAGGAAGAAAGGAATAAAGAAAGAGAGAAGTTAAGGAAGGAAGGAAGGAAGAAAGGAAGAAAGAAAGAAAGAACGAAAGAAAAAAAGTAAGAAAGAACGAAAGAAAGAAAGAAATAAAGAAAGAAAGAAAGAAAGAGTGAAGTAAAGAAAGAAACAGGGAAAGCAAGAGAGACATAAAGGAAGGAAGGAAGGAAGGAAGGAAGAAAGGAATAAAGAAAGAGAGAAATTAAGGAAGGAAGGAAGGAAGAAAGGAAGAAAGAAAGAAAGAAAGAGTGACGTAAAGAAAGAAACAGGGAAAGCAAGAAAGAAATAAAGGAAGGAAGGAAGGAAGGGAGGAAGAAAGGAAGAAAGAAAGAGAGCAAGTCAGTCAAACTTCTGACTTTTGGGCTTTGACCTGCCTTAGCTTCAGAGTGCGGCCTTTTGGCCTCACTTGTCACCCATGCAAAGTTGGGTGCAAGCTCAAACGTGGCATGCGCCTTGTAAACTCCCGAAAAAATAAGATCACGATGTCCATCTATGATGGGTTGCTGGATTGCTTCTCCGTAGTCGCCTGTTTTTGGCTCCAAATCCCTTTTGCCACTTTGGTCAGCATGAGCCGTAAACAGCAAAGGACCGCGGGACAGTTGGGTCACGGGTTGCAGCATCTGAGTTTTCATAAGCATGTATATACATAGAAATATAGACACACACACACATATATATATATATATCCATATATATATATATCCATATATATATAATATATATATATATTTATTTATTTATATATTGATCTATCTATTTTTTTATTTATATTTACATGCCAGTATCTACCATGTAAACATATCAGCAGAAACATGAATAATACAGATGTTGCGACATTTGGTTGTTGCCTTGTGGCAGTAAGTGGCATTGGGATATTGCGTGCTCCTCGTGAATCCGTGCGTCGACCGTGCTGCGTAAGGGGAAGCTCTTGCGTGGCCGGTCGTCGCCGGAATCCTTTGTGTGTGTGTGTGGCTGCGTGTCCGTGCGTCGACCGTGCTGCGGCTCTGGCGTGGCCGGTCGTCGCCGGAATCCTGTGCTCGATGAAATGTGTATCGGTGCGTCGACCGTGCTGCGTAAGGGGAAGCTCTTGCGTGGCCGGTCGTCGCCGGAATCCTTTGTGTGTGTGTGTGGCTGCATGTCCGTGCGTCGACCGTGCTGCGGCTCTGGCGTGGCCGGTCGTCGCCGGAATCCTGTGCTCGATGAAATGTGTATCGGTGCGTCGACCGTGCTGCGTAAGGGGAAGCTCTTGCGTGGCCGGTCGTCGCCGGAATCCTTTGTGTGTGTGTGTGGCTGCATGTCCGTGCGTCGACCGTGCTGCGGCTCTGGCGTGGCCGGTCGTCGCCGGAATCCTGTGCTCGATGAAATGTGTATCGGTGCGTCGACCGTGCTGCGTAAGGGGAAGCTCTTGCGTGGCCGGTCGTCGCCGGAATCCTTTGTGTGTGTGTGTGGCTGCATGTCCGTGCGTCGACCGTGCTGCGGCTCTGGCGTGGCCGGTCGTCGCCGGAATCCTGTGCTCGATGAAATGTGTATCGGTGCGTCGACCGTGCTGCGTAAGGGGAAGCTCTTGCGTGGCCGGTCGTCGCCGGAATCCTGCGCTCGATGACATGTGTGTCCGTGCGTCGACCGTGCTGCGTTAGGGGAGACTCTTGCGTGGCCGGTCGTCGCCGGAATCCTGCGCTCGATGAAATGTGTATCGGTGCGTTGACCGCGCTGCGTAAGGGGAAGCTCTTGCGTGGCCGGTCGTCGCCGGAATCCTGCGCTCGATGACATGTGTGTCCGTGCGTCGACCGTGCTGCGTTAGGGGAGACTCTTGCGTGGCCGGTCGTCGCCGGAATCCTGCGATGTGTTTCCGTGCGTCGACCGTGCTGCGTAAGGGGAAGCTCTTGCGTGGCCGGTCGTCGCCGGAATCCTGTGTGTGTGTGTCGGTGTATCCGTGCGTCGACCGTGCTGCGTAAGGGGAAGCTCTTGCGTCGGTGCGTCTGTGCATATTGTGTATATATATATTACATGTATATGCATATATATATATATATTTATTTATTTATTTATGAGATTCCGTCAAAATTTGCGCTGATTAAGTCTTTACTGGAGTGTGCATCGGATGGTGGCCGTCGCATGAAATCTGTTCAAACGAGAGGAAACTCACAAAAAACGATGCTTTTTTTGTTTGCGCATGCTTGCGCGTTTTGGGGTGTGGGCATAATGTTTGCTTAGGCAGGGTTGTTTTGTCACGTTTGGATCCACTTCACCATGAATGGGTGTGCCCATGCGGTGGCTTGACTTTACATGATTTTACAATACTTTAGCCACCTAGGTGGGCTGCTTCAACTCGGCACCGAGTAGCTCAGATTACGGAAACCATGCATCTATTCGCAGGCAGTGTAGGCATGCTGGAGTGGCCAACTCCATGCAGTATCTCGTTTTGCTGCCGGGCCTAGCTTTGGTAGACCGCGGAGAGCTATTCACTCAGTCTCGCATGCATGTGACTTGCAAAGATGGAGCCCGCGCAGAACGATACCCAAAACGATGCCCAAACGATACTAAAATCTTTCCAAAAGCGCCCCGGGTGACCGACTGGTCACAAAACAGAAAACAGGCGGAACAGGTGGTGGATGTTGGTAGTATGTTGTAGTGATGGACTCAAGTTTTATGCCCCGGCCGGATAAATTTTGAGGTGGGCAGCTGTGAGTGGCCAAAGCATGCCAAATTCCAAAAGGCTTGCTGGGTGAATTGACCGCTCAAGCAGCGCGAAGGAGGACCAGACAGGCACGGGCAAAAGCACAAGTGCGCTCCAACGCGCGCAAACAAAGATTGCTAGGTATGAGGACCCAAGTGGACGCGCTTCAAAGCTATGCTTAAACAGAGGTAAATACTGGCCAAAATATGGAAAAACAGGAAGCCTGTAAAACGATAGGGGGCTCACTAACTTGATGGCGCACTTGATGCAAATAAAAAATTCGACCGTGGCTCATATATGTATATGATTGTATATGTATATATATATATATATATGTATGTGTTTTTATTTATATATGCAAATGCACCTGTTTATTTGTATACAAACGGTAGAATATTCGCAGCATATGTCATTTTTCTTTGCAACAAGCAAATCACATTTATTGTCATAACAGAGACGTCCATGCGCATGTGCCTCTCTTCCCAGGAGGGCAAACTGGAAGCGCAAGGCTTGAGCAGCCACAGAAGCATATGATGATGGATAGTATCCCAGCCTGCGCATCTGGCAGGCAACTGGCATAGAAGTGAGTTCGCCCGTAAAGGCGTGAGGGCAATAGGCGTTATTTTTGGTTCGCAAATATGATTCAACAATATTCAACATGTGCCGCTCACTTCGCTGCAAAGGCTGCGAAGGTGGAGCCGGAGGCCAAGGCTCCGCCAGCCCGAGGTTTCTAATATGTTTGGGTCTGGGAAATTGGTTTTGCTCAAGCTTGAAAATGCCGTCCGTTCAGTAAAGCGCAAGGTGCTCCGAGAAATCTAAAAGATTAGAATTTTGCAGGAGAGGTAGGTGTCTTGGTCTTCATGACAAAGTTCTGATTAACAGGCTGCCTAATCGTCTTAGCACGTGAATACTTGCGAATTTGATTGGTTAACCGACCAAACGACTAATTGACTGACAGACTGTAGGATTTATGAAATTGACAAATACCGACTGACTGATGCGTTGACGAAGTGAAGACCTGGCTACCTGACTCAATCTGACCATCTGGCTGGGTAACGAACCCTGCTGGACAGCCGGCTTGCCATAATTGAAATTGTAGACTTTTAACTTTCTTTGATAACCTAAGCCTGCTTCACTTAAGGGCTTCGCAGAAACTGCTTGCAGGTGAAGCTGCCACCAATGCCTCCACCACCTCAGCGGCGT